AGATTCATGTACAGATACAGATTCATGTACAAATATACAGATACAGATTGTCCGAGTAGGATGACCGTGTCAGTCCCTACACCTGAGTGAGGGTCACAGTTGACACGGTGGCTTTCGCGTGGATTTATTTAAGGTGGATAACAGGTTGCGAATCTGAGACACACACACTTGGAGTCCAGGACATACCAGAAGTGATATATCACGAGTGTACCAATCGAGTCATTTTGGCTACGTGCGTTTTAGCATGTAAGTTGTAGCATGTACAGTTTCACCCACGCAGGTGGCCCACATAAGAGCGCTGACTTTCAGAGAAAGCGATGTAAGCCACCTCTATATGTCACTCACGGGTCGTGTTGTTTCAATGAAGTAAACCTTGTAGCTGCGCTGTGTGTGCGTGCAATGGGGAATATGCAATTTAAACTTTTGCCGGCTCCGAGGGCTAATTGCGGGCACAAAATTAAAAAACATGTAAAACTAAAACCGGATCCTCATTACATCTGCTTGAGGATTAATGTGTGTCTGTAATTCACTTTATGTTCACGGTAGCAAAATTTCACGGTCTGAGAAAAATGGACATGTTTACGGAACTATATGTTCACGGTGGCAACAGGTGCAGGAGAAGGTCTAGAAATTATTTGTTAACTGTAATGATAAGTTGAAGTGACAGTGAAAACAGTGAACATAAAAGTACTGTGAAAAAAGTCAGGAATTACAGTAGCTGAAGTTGTAACACTTGTTTTTACACGTGCTGCAGTGATTTCTGGGTTATTGTGAGGACAGACACGGAACTAGCCCTGAAAAACAGACACATTACAATAGAGGTGTTGTTTTGGGTCATCATAAGGATTGATACGTTCTTCCCCCCCAAAAAAGAAAAAAAATGCCGCCAAATCGTAGCGGTGTATCGGATGGGTTGGGGGCATGTTTTCTAATTGTTGTTACAAGGATGTTCTGGCCTACAACATGTGTAAGACAGACCCACGATGTTACCAAGAATGCCCCCAGATTCTTGCCGTCAACTGATCGTATGTCGAATGTGACTTGGCACCCTGTGGCACCTAACACCAGTCTGTATCTGTATCTGTATAACCGGTATAACCACCCTTCGGTGTAACACACCAGCTTCTGTATCTGTATAGCCGGTATAACCGCCTTTCGGCGTAACGCACCAGCTTCTGTATCTGTATAGCCGGTATAACCACCCTTCGGAGTAACACACCAGCTACTGTATCTGTATAGCCGGTATAACCGCCCTTCGGCGTAACACACCAGCTTCTGTATCGGTATAGTCGGTATAACCGCCCTTCGGCGTAACACACCAGCTTCTGTATCGGCATAGCCAGTATAACCGCCCTTCGGTGTAACACACCAGCTTCGCAGGCACGCGGCGTGGCGGCAGCTAGCTATATCACACCTAACGACCTGTTACCCACAATCTTTGCACATTAAATTGCAGGAGTGTTTAAAGCTTTCTAGTGATGACACCCCTACTGTTCTTGGTGACAGCGAGTTCCAGTCTACGATAGTTCTTGGGAAATACGAGTTTTTGAACACCTCAATTCTTGGTTGATAACTCTGGTATTTGAAGGCATGACTGTTTCTTGTTCTTTTCTGGGCTGGTATCAGATACTTAGTGGTCGGTACGTCCACCAGTTAGTCATTTTGTACATCATCGTCCACAAGCTTAAGGCCGAACTAGGTCAAACCGTGGACGACCACTTTTCTGGCCACCTTGCAGCCGATGATGGGTTGTATGTTTGTTTAGACACATTTGAGACCGGACCTGTCCGGTTTCCCGCCAAAAATAGCTGGGAAGTCGCCTCAGAAGTCAACACTTCTCGTCCCAGAACGCGGCCACACGCACCAGGTCGCACCCAAACGCAACAGATGGTTCTCTTCAGAGGGACCGAGGATGTTTTCCTAAGTCGAAAATAGATAAGATGGAGTGAATCAGAGCATAATCTAAATAGATCTATGCTAAATTTAGAAGTTCCGTGCTAAAAATAAAGTTTCTTTGAGATAAAAATAAAGTGACAAGGGAAACCCAGATTTTGCTTTGGGAGGGGGGGGGGTCACTAACTACAAACAGAAATATCTGTAATGTTATAGTTCTAAAATGCCCATCTTGTTTCATAAGAGTTTTGTCTATATAGTATGCAATTTGTATAGTTCGTTTCATTTTTAAGATAACAACCTAAAATAACTAGAAATGGTCTTTGAAACCATATATTTCAACTTGCAAGTCGACAGCTTTTCGCCGAATATGAGAGTCATCAACCTCGTCCGTGCATGAATCGTATACATGTAAAACTTTGTCTTACAATCTGTGTACCCCACAGCTACATCTGTTAGCGCAGGTAAATGAGACACTGTAACTGTTCTTTTTGTACACTGCCCAGTTACAAGCTAGCCCTTTCTGTAAGTCTGCTTTAGAATTCTAGATGTACGACATCAAAATCGTAACACGCCCTGCCGCGGGACGAATGCAACAGCACATAGAATTCCCCTCAGCAAATTTCGAGTCAGTTTTTCTCGAAAATCCGGAGATGGCATTTCCTGTGCCTCTTCATGTAATGGGTGACTTGTGTCTGACGTCAGAGTCTCCCAATGTTCCACCAGTTCGTCGGAAATTCCCCAATTTTCCAAGAAATCCTGGGCATTCCAGCAACCAATCAGAGCTCATATTGTTCGGCAGAATTTCAGGAAGAAGCCGACTCGAAATTAGCCAAATGGTTGTATTTCGCGTGGTTACGACGCTGTCACGATGTCGCATAACATCCCATCAGGATGATGTTCTTTGTTCGTGACTACAAAAAGCAAACCTTACATCATGGATGAGACTCCCTGAATTGAAAGAGTTTCCGAACAAAAATTACAGATTACAACGGACAAGACAGGTAATATATACATCCTTGATGTACATTATAATACATGATTTTGTACCAAGAAAATAATATTGTTGTTAATTATATTTCTCCAGGGGAAATACATAGCCTACTGGCAAAGTATCATATTTTAAAATATGATACTTTGTCAGTAGTCTTGCCATTATTAAAATTTTAATGAATCATACACACACTTGATCAGACGCAGTACATTTCCATTGTATCTGCTATTTTCAAAATACGCAGTGTCACTTTCCATAGGCCTTGGCTTACATGTATCTCTGGTGTGTTTTCAGGCGTTTTTGTCCTGCTTTCTTTTTTTCTGTTGGTGTCCTTTATTACGCCATTTCGAGTAGAAAATGGTAACTGCCAGGAAATGGATTCTACCAAGACTATACTACTGATTTTTTCACTGTACTGTTATGTTCACAGTTTTCACTGTCACTTCTGTACCGTGAACTTATCATTACAGTTAACAATTAATTCCTGGACTTTCTTTTTCCTGCACCTGTCGCCACTGTGAACATAAAGTTCCGTGAACATGTCCATTTTTCTCAGACCATGAAATTTTGCTACCGTGAATATAAATGAATTACAGTATTTGATACTATTTTGCAGCCACTAAAAGATGTGCTTGGCGAATATCGTAATGTCACACATATGCCCAGGGTGGTAAAACTGGAAATATTCTGAATAAGACAATCTGTATGCTATTGACACATACTTTCCCACATTAGCACATTTGAATCAGTATTTCATACTTTAGGCATTTAAAACTGCAGAAACAAGCACCAAGATGGGGAGGCACCCTAAAAATCAATCCAGGTCCTTCCAGTACCGTTTTTTTTTGTCAGAATTTTGGGAAGTTTTGCTCCGTAAATGTCGATATACATTGGGACAGTGTTGTTTTAACTTAGTATGTAGATAGAAGACTAGAACATTGACTTCGAAAAATCTGGTTTCCAAGCCCCAAAAACTGCACTGGTAACATGGCTTTTTTTTTGGCGAATATCGTAACGTCACACATATGCCCTTAAGGTACAACATGGCTTTTTCCCCAGCTGTTTTGCTCGTGATGACCCTGAATCATGATCTTGACTACTGCGGTCACGTCGTGTCCATATCCAGGCGATTTTCGAAAGAAAATACTTTGAGCGCCCGCATATTTCTCCCTGATCTCCTATTGCGTCACCAGGCGATCGGCACACGGCGATTTACGTACCCAAGAATGAGCTCTATTGTAACTGTACCCTGATTTTCAACCGGCGTTTTCTGTGATTTTTGGATCACGAGGGGATTTTAAAAGGGCTCTGACCGAAAACCAATACCCGCAGAGCCCTTGATATACGCATTGATGCCATAACCTGTGGTAAACGGTATAGCCTCCACAGCATGCAAAAAACTGGGGGTTTTGGGGGTCTTCATGGTCTTTGAGAGATTTTATGTGCTATTTACTGATTGCATATAGACAACATAGCCGGCCTGGTTGAATTACCCCCGTTTTAATCATCAGAAAACAGCCGAAGACCACCAACCCCCCTAGTTCTATAAGCCTGCTACGGAGGCTACAGAGTCATTGATATACGCATTGACGCCATAACCTGCGGTAAACGGTGCCCGTTTTAAGGCAGCTTGGTCATAACACAAGCGATATTTAAGGTTGTCAAGTCATATTTCAGTCGCCGTTTAGGACCGCCTGGTCATATTTCAAACGCGTTCATGTCACACACACATGTTACACAACAAAAGGCCTTTGAGTCACGGCCACGACCGCGCACCAAAAGAAAGGCCACCATCTGATGTCACCCACATGTATTAAGTTCCTAATATGCCCATATGGGACCAGGCTGTATTGATTGTATAACGGTTACCGCAGGAAGCTGAGTTCTATGAATGGCGGAGTACGCACGGAGTGGGCGTGGTCTGACTGTCACGTCTGCGTGTTTACAGCATCATCTGACGTCATGACAGCCGGCCACGTGACTAGGAAACCCCTAGAAAAGAAGGGGACCTTCCCGACTACCGTTCAACCACTCTGCAACTCTCACCGAGACCACTGCAAACTTACGCTCCGTCTAGCAAGAGTTTCTCTCAGCTCTCAGTATCAGTAAAAAGATGGCGAGTTCCAAGCTTAGCTTTGTGAATTCTCGGCTGACAGTCTTCAGCGCCGTCTTGGCGCTCTGTTCTTACGTCTTCCTCAGAAGAACGTCCGTCGAGTTCCGAGAAGAGATCTTCATCCAAGCGTCGGAGAGCGAAGTGTTCGAGTTCCTGTCGGATGTCAGACTGTTGGACTTTGTTCACCCTTACAGGTGGGTACCGCTTCATGCTTGTTACCATACCTTGTAGCTATACAACTATTATAGTTGGTATTCTGTTGTAAAGGATCCTGCTTGACGGCTAGTTATAACAGGTATTTGTGAATGGCTAAAAAATTTAGAAGCGTTTGAATGGGTAAAACGTTGAGATTAGAAAATTTTGTTCCACTCGCACCTTGACCACGCGTAGTTGACATCGCTTTATGTTTTGTACTCCGGTCCACATGCTTAAGTTTTACGGGCAATTTTTTAGGCTGACTGAAAATTCTGCGTCGAAAAATTTATCCTATCACGAATATCATTGTGAGGCCTGGACGCCAGACTGTTGCCAGGGCGCATACCAGCTCCTCGGCTCTAGTGCCAACATGCCCCTGGGGAAATTTTACCAAAAAAAAACTCAGGCTCTTAACTGAGGGGGCTGTGGTAAATTTTTCTTGGGGATAAGCTGGTCCTAGAGCCGAGGAGCTGGGCTGTGTACTATCCCTGGCAACAGTCTGGTGCCAAGACTAGCGCCCGCGCCGCTACACACGGTGCTACCACGCGCACATCATGCCGCCTAGCACGGCAGGCACACTCACGGGCGACAGTCAGCCTCAACCTCCCAACACTGTGTATAATGTATAAAAGCACAGCTTTACGGAGTCAATTAAAAGGGCATCGAATACGATTTCCTCTGATATTTTGACACATTTGTGAACTAAATCTGATAAAATTTCTTCAAATTTGCCTTAGGTTGGGACAGATTTTTCTCTGGCGCTGTCGTTGTTATCTTTGATGGTTTATGGTTTAGAGGGCTTGTTATATCGTTACTAGCCTGGGTACCATCCTACTTGTATACCGGGGCTCCCACACTCGCTTCCCTTAGAACTTCTTAGGGAAGCGAGTGTGGGAGCCCCGGCATACAAGTAGGATGGTACCCAGGCTATATCGTTACGATACGTGGCCAACAAATCCTGGCACAAAGAAAAATACCTGGCACATCGTTACCGCTCAGAATCCAGTCGATCCCAGCTCGTCTCCAAGAAAGACAGGATAAAAATTATTCTTTTCCTCCCTAAGGACTTTGACACTCCAGATGGGTAGTTTCACCGGTGACAGCTACAAGGTATTCAAATCAGGGAAAAATAACGGTTGGGAATTTTGATGCCACAAAATGGTAGAATGTCGTACACCTATTTTACGATCCTGTAGAAGAAAGAAAAATGAAAATAGTTCAAACGGTCGCAACACATTGAGGAAAGTGTAGGTTATTCCAGTTCAGCCTGTTTTGAAGGCCATGTTTTTAACCGGACGGAAGTAGCTGTCGCCTTTCTATCAGTTCTTGTCGATTTGACAAGGAAAATTCCCCTGTATTTGTTTTCTGTACAAGTAACGATATCCGCCATATCCGGCACTTTCGACCAGAAATCGTTCGGAAGTCCCGAAATCTTATATTTCCCCCGAAATCTTTCATTTCCCCGTTCCTCTTCCTGTGTGAGAGGAAATCGCGGAGTACGGAGCGGAAAAAACTGAAATTCGACCCGTTTACCGCGAGCTATTGCTTTCGGGGGATTCCCTAGAATTGACTGCAGGATTAATCATGTGCGTACCGACTCGTACTAAGTCCTTGGAACCGCTTATACTGAGTTTGCCGTGGGCAATCTTCAAGCAGATATGTGGGGGCCGACTTAGTGATTCACGCAAGCCTCTACCAGGCTTCGGGAGGCGGCTGGAAAGAGTAGAAATTGGCCAGATAGAGAGATAACATGCCAGGGGAGTTGGTCCGCTAAAGAGTACAGTTTGTCACACTCTGCACTCTCTAGCGGCTAATTCCCTTGGCATGTTATCTCTCTATCTGGCCAATTTCTACTCTTTCCAGCCGCCTCCCGAAGCCTGGTAGTTCAAGTAGGCTGATTCACGTCTGTTTATGAGGCTTTTTAAAACGCCCTCTTCAAAGTCCTAGTAAAGAAGGCAGTGGGAAAGAAACGTATATCCCTAGCAAGACGTATAAAATGCCACAAAGCACGAGTAAAATGCCATATCTGCTTGGAGATTAGTCTTTTCTAAAATACATAGCCAGCCATGTTCTCAATCGTAGATACAGCACTTGAAAATCCTATTCCTTGTACCTTGTATTCTTTTATACAGTTGATTTTACAGATAGTATTTTGAATGCTACTCGTGATAAAGGTCAATCTACATCTACCGTGCCGATAATCTAGGCCAGCTAAAGTCAGAACATATAAACACATTCTAACCAAACTGACGGCCTGTTTATACCAGGGGGCTATGTTTAGCTCTGAACAGACAACGAAGATGCTCCGGTCTATTCTTAGAAAGTCTTGTTTGTTTTTCCACGTGTTTTTTTCTACCCGCACCTCAGATTGTACAACTTTGATAATCAGAGGGAAAACCGTTTGACACAAATCTTTACCTAAACAGAAAACGGTGGAAGTACATAGATTGAAGACAGGTATTTTGGTTGCTACTTTGTATCATCCTGATCATTTTATACAAACTTCAACGTAACTCCGCAAAGTTGGGAAACTTTGTGGCCGGAAATACGACGATCCTCAAAATGGCGAATCTTCAAAACGTCCATTCATACTGTAGTGTTACGAAACGAGCTCCGTTTGCTGCAAACGACGCACTAAAATCATTTAGCAAAGCTGATGACATTTTTACTTTACCTTCATGTATGCTCTGAAAATCCCCGTCGCAAAGGGCATAGAACCGATTACGCGAGCTTTTAAGGTTTTGACGTCACCGAACACTTAGTGTACGGCAGGTAACTTAAAGACGGCCGGCTTTGAGTCTCAACTGTCGTTAAGGAGAAAGTCTTGAGGCTTTGGAGTGAAAGGGCGAGCGAAAGTCTCTGGGTTTACGTTGAAAGTGAAATCGCGATGCGGGAGATCGAGAAAAAAAATAACCCGAAAATACCGATGAAACCCACGTCAACTCCTTGTGGTAAACTTGATTGGAAGTACGGACTGGTTTTTACTCCGTCATACTTGTACCTCGGCTGAATGTCTGGACGACGCACGGGTCGCTGTAGTTGATCAAACTTGCTCAACAGCTTCGTGTACTTTACCGTCATGTAGTTATATTTTCTTGCTGTTACATTTCTGTTATCGTGCTTGTGAGGAGAGGCCTCAATGAGTAGCATTGCTTATGCACAATCTTTGGAAAATAAATGTGAATGAAGTAAGGCATAGCACAGCTATCAAGGCTCACAAAAATTCCTTACAGTCTATATACAGAGTTCAGAGACAAAATTTCAGCGATCAGCAAATTCCTGGCCAACGAAAAGAGCAAATGTGCCAAGATCGCCGCCACTTGTCTGTAGAAATCGTGCATTAAGACACGTACAGACCCAGATGTGTCGACCCACCTTCTTTTGTCTCCATTCCAAGCATTGTCTGGATTGCATAACGTCTGAACATTGCTGGTTGCATAAGGGAGTCTGGAGGTACAAACTGATCTTGAAAAGCCTGGCAAAACTCCCACACTTAACTCTAGATGTCAGCCTAGGGGGACTTAATCCTAGCCTGGGTGCCAGACTGTTGCCAGGGCCAGTTGCTAGGCCTTAGATCCTTGGTGTAGTGTACTACTGGCCTTAACACTCAGGCTGGCATCTAGGCTATACTCAATCCGAAGACCCACGCACTCCTAACTTTGCCTAACGATTCTGAGTAGGCCAAGGTAACATATGTTTCTTGAGAAGTGATTTAAATCGCGTAGGTGGCTTGCTCACATGTACTTTTTAGGCCTTCGCAACAAAATATGATTATAGTCGCTTCCTAAAGGTATTTATTCAGTCTCTCATATTCTTGGCAATTTGGATTCATCCGGTACGCTGGCACTGCTCTCTAACGAAGTATTGTCGCTGCCGGTAGTTAGATTTTGCGTGTGGGTGTAATACTAAGTATCCAGCTCCGGTGCGCAAAACTGGATTTCAATGGAACATTTAGGAGGAAAGATCTTAACCATCTCCTCTTTAAATATTGAGCCACGGGGTAAGCTAGGGATAAGTTTGAATCAGTAGCTGGTAAAGCGTTGTAATCTTTCCTCCCAAACTCTACCGGAAAATTAGCAGAACGTTCCACTAAAATTGATCTTCTTGTTAGTCTGTATTTTACTTCTATCATATCGACCCTATGTAGATGTAACTTACATCTACATATTCTGTTTACACTGCAATACCTTACATTGTAAGGTATTGCAGTGTAAACAGTCGTTCAAACCCACATTACATATCACTACATACACATATACGTATACATAGGTAACATTTGTCTGTTTTTCTGTGTGTATACTAATAAAAGACCCTATAGAAACGCTATATTTTTTCAGTGGTTTTAAGAGGATTCTTGAAGTATGTGAATGCGCATCCCTCGCGACATAGAACGGTTTACCCCCCAAACCGTCCTCCTGAGTATGACCAATACTGACCTGTCCCTGTTGTTTGTTGTTCTGTACAGAGTCGGCGCGTTTAACATCACGGCAGTGACTGACGACTCGGGGCTGGAGGGAGTCAACTACGATAATGTGGAGAGGATCGACTTCTTCGGGCTCTACACCGAGACGCTCTACTTCCCTGTCCACACAAGATTCCTCAGGTATGTCTTAAAGATACCTATGTCTAAGAACCAAGATTTTGAAAAAGAAAATTTAGGTTATTCCCTAAAGAAGGGTGACATGCCTTTTAAAATGAATGGTTACTTCATTGTTTTTGTTTGTTTGTTTGTTTGATAGCACTATAATTCAAACTCTAGTGAGTAGATCTGTTTGGAAGAATTTTAGGCAAGGAAGTTTAAATTCAAACCTCATTGTCTAGCTATGGATTGTCAATTCCAATTTCGGGCCTCCTAGCGGCTAAGTGGTGAATTGCAGCTGTTTTTTTCGCAAGTCATTCAAAGATGCTGGTGCATTCTGTGCTCCACTTTTTCTCCGTTTTTTTTCTGTTGTTCAAAGTTCTAATACAAAACGTTTGTGCCTTTACACTTGCTGTCAGTTCTAATAAACAGTCAATTTTGTTCTTACACTTGTTCTAAACAGAAACTTTTCCTCTTACATTTGCTGTTTTAACAGAAAATCTTTCTCTTACACTTACAGAAACGCGGGCGAGGTCCGGTCGTCCTATGACGTGATGAACGGAACGATCGTGGCTAACCAGTCCTTCACGCTGCACCCGGCCCAGCGCAACGGCGTCAACGGCACCCTGGTGGTGGACGTCAGCCGAGTCAGCCTGCCCTGGGCCTACTCACACTTCACGGCCTGGAAGGGCGGCGAGGCGCACAAAATGATCCTCGGGGGGATGCGGAGGTTCTTGGAGGGCGAGAACCGCGACGTCATCACCCTCCTGAAACAGTACGCCGACCTGAGAATACAGTTTAACGAACTCAGGCTGCTGTCCAATGACATCACGTCTTTCTGCGTGCTCCCGATGATCTGTTCAAACTCGTGATCCCATTGGTCCACGTCAGAGAATATATTTAACCAATCAGAGTAGAATATTTTTCCTGACCAATCGCTGATCTATTCGAACTCGTGATTGCATTGGTCCACGTCAGAGAATATATAGCCAATCAGAGTAGAATATTTTTTTCCTGAATCGCTGGCTAACATAAACTTAAGTCTGTGATGTCGATATATATGTTTTGTCGACAAGGTGCTCAGATTGACTACAAGATGTCATACGCACAAGTTACAGGTGTCAAGGATACACAAGTCTTAATTTAGGAAATACAGAAGAAATTATAGACACCTTAAGGACAGCTAGATCTAGTTCAGAAAACAAGATACAGAGGAAAACTTGTATTGCAATATTTAACTCAGAAAAAAGAAAACATGTTCAAGTTTTTCTCCAGATGTCGCACAACCCTTGTAAATAATAGTTAAGGATGGATACGTGTGAAAAGAGAAGTATATCCTTGTTATGAGAGGAATGTCATACAGAAATGCTCTGGCTAAAGAAAGTATAAAGTATTGTAAATATGTTCATGAGCTATTCTTCAGAATAAATGTTTGTTGTGTTTAAATCACAGAGTTGTGTGCTTCATAGCATGCCCCTAGATTACGGGTTAAAAAGTATTAAGAAGGCAACCAGAGATGGCAGACTTCACCCCTTACCCATACTGCTTTCCGTCTATCTCTTGCAGTCTCACATACAGAGATCATGAGGATATGTGCCACGCATAAGAGAGGGACACAGACAGACACACGGACTTACACACAGACAGATGCATGGATAGGCACACAGACAGACATACATGTATATACACACAGACACACGGACCGAGCAACCAACCAAACAGTATTTACATAGTTCAACAGTATCCAACAAGGGATTCGTGGATGATAACAGAAAATGAAGGAAGGAAGAAAGGAATGGAAAGGAAATGAAATAAACGAATGAAGAACAAACGTAAAAAAACGTCTCATTCCAATCACCATACAATGTGTATGAATCATGGTCGATGAGAACGAAAAAAAAATAACTTATTCTAGTCACTAAAACGACTTCAAAAGTCCGTGAAATGTCACATACTTAGTCCGGATTGTCGTCAGTGTTCAGACTATATAAAGCTGAAATGTCGTGTGGCACAAATGATGTGTATCAACATAATCAGGCTAATCAAGCATCACTTCAAACAAGAAAAACGTTAGCGTAAAGTCGTTTCAAAGGTTTGACATCGTGACAAGTAAAAATAACTCTTCTTTGGTACGCAAAACTATGACGTGGGCCATCAACGTATAGACGCAATTGTATCATATAGTACATTAACCATGCCCTTTCATATTGCCATCAATACATCTATTTGCAACCTAACGTTGATTTGAAGCGTGTGGCTCTCATTATCTCATTGTCAATTGTAATCGGTTGTGAAAAGGATAAAGATGCACGTGGGAAGATACAATTTAACATCTTACATATTCAATTTTGCGTCAAACCATTACATTCTAGTGTGTGACACTCCATTTTAGGATATACAAAGAAAGAGTGACGTCCTTGTCTAAGGATGTTTAAGATTCGGGTTCGTTTGAAATATTTAGCGACCATGCAGTGCCAATTTAGGTCCGGGGACACGTGGACACAAAATCACGTTTCTCTAACCATTTACTTTTCCTTTTTCAAGGCCAAAATAATCTTATAGTTTAAACCTACTCTACTTTATATTGTTATCTTTATTTAGAATATATGATACATGCGCAGCAGAACTAATCACATACAATTTATGATTTCAAAAGGTATTCAAAATATAATCTTTCCTCCTTCGTATCTTTCTTCCTTCCATAGATGTATATATGTTCGCAGTTAGTTTGCCCGCGTTAGAAATACCTCCCCAAAGTCCGACATCACGAAGTGTAGGGGTGTACAGATCTATACACAGCATTCAGAAATAACAACATAGCCCATAAACACGCGCTGTAGAGATGAGTTGAGAACATAATGATACCTGCACACACACACCATGACACAGCACTTTTAGCTACTCCTCTGGAATGTCCGCACAAATGTTAAAGATAATGTCAAGGACGTTGTAGGGTATTTGAAATCTAGGTTTACGTTCAACAAAAGGTTCATATTAGTTACCTTTGTTATACAAGAGCTATGTTCAAATGATGTAAGCTAAATTCAAGCGATGTTAACTAAAACATCTGCTGCAGTACCAAGGAAAGCCTCTAGAAGGCTCAGAATAAATCATAGTTACTAGTAAGTACCTTGGCTTAACGTTGATATTGAATGGGTGTTCCTCAGTAGCTGAATTGAATGAAGACATTGTGACTGACTTCTATTTCAGAACGCAATACTGAACCATTGTACTTTAAAAATCCCTGCGCTACGTTTCTGAATGAGGACAGTTCGTTGCCAAAGTAAAGTTTACTCGGTAGCTACGCTTACTTGCAAACCATAAACCAAACACGAACCAGCCTAAGCTTAAGATTGACACATTTACGTAAGAGGCGCCTTACAGAGATCAGATAACAGCAGACCAGAGTATGAAAGGACACGCTCTTAATCCAGGCGATTTCCTAAACAGGTTATTCGGCCCACCTTGAGTTTGCAAATAAGCTGCTATTTTTACCCTAAGCGGATTATGGTAATTGGTGTGTATTACCGAACATTTCACATATCACGACAGACCTGCGGCGTAACACATAAAACGTACTTAAGACCTCAATATGTTTCATTTCTTTGCTAAAAAAAGACGCTAAATGATACCCGTAGCAATAGAGGATCCAAAACAAATTATACCCCTACAATTCGACCAGTAAAGCGTAAATTGTAGCATTAGCGAAGTACGCGAATACTTTGTGGCATTTGGACTACAATGCAGACATGTATTCATACTTACATTCTTAGCATTTATGAAGGGTGTCGGCCGAATAGGTTTCAGTAAAGTGTGTTTTATTGTGTTAAGATGAGGGCTTCCAGCTAATATCGGGGTTTTCTTTCATTCTTTCCTTCACTTGTCTTTCTGTGTGTGACAGGTGTTTCACAAACGCCACCTTGTGCAATCCATGAGAACTGCACACTTCATATTACAGGCACACACACACACACACACACACACATACATACACACTCACACATACACACACACTCATACACACACACACACACACACACACACACAAGCACACACACCGACAAACACACACACACACACACACACACACACACACACACACACACACACACACACACACAAGCACGCACACGCGCAGAGTAGAACAACCTATAATCACTATATCCACCTATTTCCCTTTTGCAGGACTCCAAGTATCATTAACGGATCAGTAAAAGGTGGGTATTACTTACTATATAACAAGTCGCGTGGTTGATCTTCTACTTAAATCTGGAACAGTGAGTGAACTACTGTGCCCCCAGGCGGTCCTATAGCCAGCCAGGTGTAGGGCTATTTTTACACACACGGCCTGACAAGGTTAACAAACGCTAGGCTATGCCCTGTGCCATTGAAAGATTCTATAATGATGATATTTTTCCTATCATTCGTTAAACGTATATACTTCAAATCTAGTAACGACACAGACATTCCAATAGATACATGCGAGACATACAAATTTCATTGGATATTTATTCATTGGTCCAGTTGAGTGTCTAGACTTGAAATGACAGTAAAAATACCTTATAATTTATCCTGATTCCCATAACCTCACAGCTTTACGTATATCCAAGACATCGCAAATTTCAGCCCAAAGGGCCAAGTCAAAGTATGGTCAATATTGCTCCCATGACACCTTCCAGCAAAATTGTTGGAATTGTACGTATCTAAGAAAGAAGATTACTCCTCTATTTTGCAATTTTTCTACAAAGAAAATATCTTGATAAATTAAACATTATACATCTACTCGGTACAACTTCATGCTTGTGCATGTGCACACTTGTTGAGAATATAAGAATTAATATCTATTTCGTGACCACTTATAGTACAAAATGATATAATATAATATATTACAAAACATTTGGTCAATTACTGATTTGCAGCACACCGGATGTGCTGACTCCTGCCGTCACTTCCGGTGAGATACCTGCTCGGTAGATTTAATTCGTTGACTTGTTTTGTCTCCAGCAGTTGCTTCATTCCTTCCAGGATTTCCCTGTGCGCTTCCCTGGCTTTCCAATACGTGGCGTACGAGTAGATCCAGGGACACTCCATCAGATTTTTGTCCGTCAGAAAAGTTCCGTTGCGACCGGCATGCTGTGCGGCTGTGACGGTGAAGGCCTGACGCGCGACCAGGGTTCCGTTCAGTACGTCATAAGTGGACCGGATCTGGTAGCCGCTGTTTATTCTAGGGAAAAATACGAAGAAACAAACATTTTACAGTCAGAAGTTGTCATCGAAAACTTTGTGTGCCCGTTGGTATCTTGCAATTGAAAAAGTACGTATACATTCAGGTCCCAAACGTTAACACACACACACACTGACACACACACACACACACATACACACAAACACACACAATAGAAAATGAAAAAAAATTACATGGTCCCAAACGTTCACAGAGAGAGAGAGAGCGGGGGGAGGGAGAGAGAGAGGGAGAGAGAGAGACGAATTGAGACACAGTCACACGCACACAGAAAGAGAGAGAGAGGGAGAAGAGAGAGAGAGACAGAGACTAATCTTAAACGAAGTTTTAGGTTTCCTACTTACTTTGCGAATTGGACCCACACAGGGAAGGCATATATCGTTGAGTAGACTCCCTTTACGTAGTCCACCCTCTCTACACTGGTGTAATTCAACTCCAGATCGCTGAAATGTTGGATGTCTCGGGCTTCGATTCTGTAACGAAACAGGACAAGAAATAAACAACGGTTTTTAAGCTAGATATGTACCACCATCTTTATTTGCATTCACAAAAAGTTTTATAATATCAATAGAATATGCCGCGACAAGAGACTGTTTTTTTGTTGTTGTTTTTATAAGCCTCTATCAGGCGTCTGGAGACGGCTGGAAATAGTAGAAATCGGCCAAATAGATAACATGCCAGGGGAGTTGGTCCGCTACTAGCCTAGACTCCCCTGGCTACTAGCCTAGACTCCCTAAACTCCACTGGCATGTTATCTATTTGGCCGATTTCTATTTCCAGCCGCGTCCCAAAGCCTGGTAGAGGCTAGTTTAAAGGACACTGACAAAGATCCATTTTACAGCAAGTTATGCTGTGTACAAATTTCGAAACAAACAAAAAATTCACTAAAACACACTAACTAAACACACAGGGTCACTTTTTTTTAGTTTTAGGCGAAGGTAAGTATAAACTTTCGCACCTGTAGGGATGCACGAGGTCGAGCAGACGCACGTCGCTTAGAAAGCCGAACACATCCTCGGGAGGAGCGGCGATGAAAATCTCTTCTTTCACCACAAATTGTACCCTAGAAACAATAACAAACTCCAAATTAAATAAAAAATAAAAAAATAAACTTAATGGCAAAAATGTCGTCGGCATGGATGGTGCCCGGTGCTTGCTTACCGCCTTACGAACAAAACTTTTCATTTTTTTCATTCGAATAAGAAGACAGTGGTAGCGCACACTTGGTTGAACCTATACTGGCATGTATACCACTAAACGTACTTACACAAGTATAAGTGAACACAATATGTGATGAACATATAAGAAAAACGAAAGAATGTTACAAAGTAGATGTTACACAGTGCTGACCCATACCGACCGTCAACAAGGAAGCATCTAATCCGAGTTTTGTGCTTTTATAAAAATGTTAAACTCTTACCTTACGAGGGTGTAGGGCAGTAGAGCTCCTAAGATAGCTACAAAAGCTATCGTAGAGAACACGTAAGGTCTGAAAGTCTTCTCAGCCACCATTTTCTTCGAGTTGACGCTTCTTGTCCTGGATTCTTCCCGGTAGTAACGCGTCCAGACATCGCCTTTTTATACACGTTCGTCTGAAAGCGTTGAGTCATGCCCGCCTCAGGCGATACTCAAAATAACGACAATGACCTAAGATAATAACCAGAGACACCCCCGCTGGATAGAGGTCGTACCCTAAATTTAGATACGCCCAGTGCACATTGGTTGCCGTACAACTGCTTGCAGCACGCCGTGGTCGTGGTGGTCGTTCCCAGTTTATGTGCTGTGAGTGGCAGCCGTAGCAACCGGCAATTTGGCAGGGTGGCAGGCTGGGTGACGTCGTGGTTACAGCTATTGTTCTGGGGGTGTTTCTCTGCTACCATTAATAGCATCGGCCTTTCGGTTGCATTAAATACGGATAATGATGTAATATAATAGGTGCGATAAAGATAGCTAATCCGTCTAAAAATAGTATGAAGTAACCAAAAGTTAAAATTAAAAGTCAATTATCTTTTTTACATCATATAAATCTTTGCACGTATACGTAGTCGTATCTGAACTTATTTACTGAAGTTTGCAAGGTGGGCTAGATTGGTACATTCATTGTAAACCTCTTCAAAAGGCATAACTAATAATATTGTTACATACAAAGATATCGTGCATACTCTCATTGTAAGAAAAGTATTGTCAGCCTTTAAATTTTAATTAAGGTTTTGTTTTCATTGGACCGTAGTAGTAAATATCATACTTGCGTCAGGTTTTGTTAAAACAAGACCGACTTCCTTTTAAAACAAATTCCAAATCCTATCAATTTGCATTTCTTCCAAAGAGATAAAAAGAAAGATTATATGATGTCTGACAAAACATAACATTCTGAGAATATACTACGCACGACGTCATTCATAAGTGTCGAGGCCCAACTTGTTGCAGTTTATGGCTTAAACGCCAGATGTCGCTATTGAGCGGACATTGACCCGGTAGTGGATATATTTCGAAGTCTATTCAAAACATAATTTATAAATGTAAAAAAATTCATATCTCTCGGAAGCTATCAACTACACTTTTTTAGATGAAAGTTTATCAAATTTCAGATTTCTTTCTCTCACTAGATCTTATGGTATGTTGCGAATCTGACGCTATGTTCAGTCACTCTCACCCCCCTCCCCAAGATGGCCGCCATTCGCCAGACTCCGCTAAGCTGCAGTGGCCACACCAGACCTGTGGTCAAACTCGCCTTCAGCCGGCTCACTCCGTACGGATACTTCCTCATCAGCGCCTGTAAAGGTACGGCCGGACGTCTAGTCCCGTGTTTTTAATGTCTTATAAGCGAAAATTGTAGACAAAAGGTGGACGTGGGGAGGGGGGCATGAACATGTATGGGGCATGTGGCAAGCATGCTCGAAGTCTTTCGATCATGAACAGCTGTCATACTTGTCATAGATGTTAGAATTCTACTGAATATTGCTATGATTAAGTAGTATAAATCTTTACTGTTATATATTGGTCTGCTTGTATTTTTCTTTGTTTAGAATAGATCTTATGGTATACTTTTGTAATGCCAAGTGCAATTAACCAGCCTGGTGAAACTGAAACTGTTTCCTTAGCCTCTACCAGTCTTTAGAAGCGGCTAGAAAGCGTAGAAAGCGGCCAAATAGACAGATAACATACCAGGGGAGTTGGTCCACTAAGGAGAACATTCAGGAGCAGCAAACTGTGGTCCTTTAGCAGACCAACTCTCCCAGCATGTCATCTATCTGGCCAGTTTCTATTCTTTTTTAGTTGCTTCAAAAGCCTGGTAAAAGCTACTACTACTAGTACTAGTCTGTATCTGTATCAGTATAGCCAGTATAACCGCTCTTCGGCGTAACACACCAGCTTCTGTATCAGTATAGCCGGCATAACCGCCCTTCGGCGTAACACACCAGCTTCTGTATCTGTATAGCCGGTATAACCGCCCTTCGGCGTAACACACCAGCTTCTGTATCTGTATAGCCGGTATAACCGCCCTTCGGTGTAACACACCAGCTTCTGTATCTGTATAACCAGTATAACCGCCCTTCGGCATAACACACCAGCTTCGCAGACACATGGCGCAGGCGGCAGCTACTAGCCATATCACACCGAATGACTTGTTACACTCAATAATAGTATTTCCTGACTGTAAATGTGTAATGTTTCATCTGTCATAACCTGTTATATTCCAGATGGGAAGCCTATGTTACATCAGGGTGACATTGGGAGTACATGTTATCCCTCTATTTGGCCAATTTCTACTCTTTACAGCCCTGAGCTACACGTACAGCCATTTACAAGCCTGATAGAGGCTACTATTTTCTGTTCAAAGGTAATGTTTCATCTGTCAATGTTCTAAATTCCAGATGGGAAGCCGATGTTACGTCAGGGTGACACTGGAGACTGGATCGGAACATTTCTCGGACACAAGGGCGCGGTCTGGGGAGCGACGCTAAACGACGACGCAACCAGAGCCGCTACCGGCGCCGCAGACTTTACTGCGTAAGACAGACTTCTTACAAACAAATAGATTAAACACTAGTAGAGATGACCCTGTCTACGCAATAAGCTACAAGGAGTGGCTCACAACTTGGGAGAGAACTTCCTACCGAGATGAAAAGTCTACTCTACTCTACTCGTACTCTACTCTACTCTACGTACTCTACTCTACTCTACTCTACTCTACTCTACTCTACTCTACTCTACTCTACTCTAAACAATAGATATTTGACTCAAACAGTTGTTATAAAATTTAGACTTAGAGCAGTCTTCTGTGCATTTATATTCTCTTAGAGTGTAATGTAATATATTAGTATGGGAAAGACCATATTATTGTTATTATTTCTCCCTGCTGCCTAACCCATCAACCAATACATATTTGGTGGTAATTAGCTACACTTAGAAGGCTGAAGGCTATCTATTGAAAGTGTAAAATCATTGTGTTTATCTATTTTTATGGTGTCTCTTACAGGAAAGTTTGGGACGCCGTGTCTGGGGAGGAAACTGCAACATTTTCACACAAGCACATCGTGAAGAGTGTGGACTTCTCTAAGGTACCATTTCTTACTTCTTCTCTTCCATCCATCCATCCATCAATCCAACCATTCATTCATCCATCCATCCATCCATCCATCCATCCCTCAATCCATATACCCACCCACCCACCCATCCCTCCCTC